TCTAAAAAGAAATGTACTCTTGACTTACATAACGGTGACCCCTCCGTACATCACCTCTATAATAACAATTTTTTAAAAATTAAGTTAAGTGATTATCCTAATAAAACAGTCCATGGAATGGAAGGGAGGAAGGGAGGGAGGAAGGGAGAAGTAGAAGGAGGGAGGAAGGAGAAAGAGGAGGGAGGGAGGAAGTGAAAGAAAGGAAGGAAGGAAGGAAGGAAGGAAGGAAGGAAGGAAGGAAGGAAGGAAGGAAGGAAGGAAGGAAGGAAGGAAAGAAAGAAGGAAAAAGGAAGAAAGAACGAAAGAACAATCAAATACTACTAACTGTATACTTAGCAAAATGGTACTTTTTAATTTTAGAACAAACCACATATAGAGCAGGGCATAGGTTCACATCTATTCCTAGCTACTCAGGAGGCTGAGATCTGAGGATCAAAGTTCAAAGCCACTTTAGGCAGAAAAACCCATGACACTCTCTATCTCCAATTAACCAGCAAAACAGCCAGAGCGACTCTTGTAGATCTCTCTCCTATTTATTGTGCCCCTGGGACTCTATTCAAGACGTTTCTGTCTATACCTATAAATTTTAATGTTTCTCCTAGTCTCTCTTGCAATGGTAGCATTAGCCTTAAGGAAAAGAACAAAGAAAAAAAGCTCAGGGCCAGTGCTAGCCCCAAGCAAAAAAGCCAAAGAGGGCAAGACCCTGAGTTCAAGCCCAGTACTAGGACAAAAGAAAGAGAGACAGAGGTTGGGGGGGGGCGGGGCGAGGGGAATGGAGAACTACATTTGAATACTACTAGTGACTTTGACTTTGGAAAAATTACTTGACAACATCTAGTAAAGCAGAACTTTATTAGATACCCAATGAGCCAGCAGTTCTACTCCTAGGTATATGCCAATATGCAGGAGGTTGAGGCAAGATGATCATAAATTTGAGGCCAGTATATACTACAGATAAGTTCTTGTCTCAGAAATAAAAATAAAAGTACATAGGGTCAGCACCCAGGTCCAGAGTTCAAGCTCCACAACAGACAAAAAAAGTAGGTATGGTGATACAGACCTATAATTCCAGCATTCAGGAGGCTGAAGTAAAAAGATGAATTCTAGACCAGCCCAGGCCATATAACTAGACTCTGTTTCCAAAAAAAAAAAAAGTCAATATAGAGGCTTATGCCTCTAATCCTAGCTACTAAGAAGGCATAGATGAGGGTAGGGTGGACAGAGTTTGGGGAAAGCAAGACTCTATCTCAACAAGTAATCCAGATATGATAGTGTACACCTATGGGGGAAGCACAGATAAGAAGATCAAAGTCTAAGCTGGCCACTAGGGAAAAGTATAAAACACTATCCAAAAATGACTGAAGCAAAATAAGGACTGTAGGTATGGCTCAAGTGACAGGAATACTTGACTAGCAATCTGAGGATTTGAGTTCAAACTTCAAAAAAAGGTAGTAATAGTTACCATGTAGAATACTAATTGTATCACTTTTTAAAATCCTGTATTTTAAGTTTTTGCTGCAAATACCACTTGTGGAGATGAAGGAAGAGAATTTTTTAGAATTCTACTGTGTATAAAATATAACTGCTTGAAAAGACCAACATAGTCAAATTATGTTAAAGAGTTTTTATAAATAAAAATTACAGATTCCTCAATACTGTGAAAATAGCCATGCAATCCCCATCAAAATTCCAATGACATTCTTTACTGAAAAAAAGAGAAAACAATCCAAAAATTCATATAGAACAACAAAAGACTTAGAGTAGACAAAGCAATTCTAGGCACAAAAACAATGCAGGTAGTATCACACTACCAGATTTCAAACTCCACTACAGAGCCATAATAACAAAAACAGCTTGGTATTGGCACAAAAATAGGTCCAAAATTAACAGAACAGATTAGAAGACCCAGAAATGAAACAATATACTTTCAGTCAACTAATATTTGACAAAGAAGCCAAAGGCATGCAGTGAAAAAAAATAGCCACTTCAACAACTAGTGTTGGGAAAACTGGGTAGTCATATGCAGAAAACTAGTCACCATGCATTGGTATCAATTCAAAGTGGATCAAAGACCTCAACATCAGACCCAAAACTCTGAAACTATTTCAAGAGAGAGTAGGAGAAACATTAAAACTTACAGGTATAGACAGAAACTTACTGAATAGAGTCCCAGGGGCACAACAGGAGAGAGATTCGACAAGTGGGACTACATAAAAATAAAAGTTTCTGCACAGCTAAGGATATAGTTACTAAACTAGAAAGACAGCCAACCAATTTATCACACAAAGGCCTAATATCCAATATATACAAGGAGCTCAAGAAACTAGCCCCTCCCAAACTTAATAAACCAATCACTAATTGGGCAAGGGAACTATGGATAAACTTCTCAGAAGAAGAGGTAAGAATGGCAAAGCAACACATAAGGAAATGCTCATCATCCCTTGGCATAAAGGAAATGCAAGTCAAAACAACACTGAGACTCCATCTTACCCCAGTTAGATTGGCCTACATTTATTTGTTTGTTTCTTATTGTAGGGTAATGTACAGAGGGGTTACAGTTATGTAAGTAATATTTCTTTTTTATTAATAAGTTTTTTTATTATGAAAATACCATGCAGAGGGGTTACAATTACATGAGCAAGGTAATGAGTACATTTCTTATCAAGCATTGTTGCCTCCTCCTTTGTTTTTCCCTTACCATCCCTGCCTTCCCATCTCCACAACTACACTCCACCCCCCCAATATGTACATTTCTTGTCCAGCATTGTTACCCCCTCCCTTGTTTTCACCCACTTTCTTGACCATTTTTAATTCAAACAACAAATGCTGTCGAGGATGTGGGGGGAAAGCCTACTGCACTGCTGGTAGGAATGTAAACTAATACAACGACTCTGGAAAGCAGTCTGGAGGTTCTACAAAAAACTAAACTAGACTTTCCCTACAAGCCAGCCATATGGCATCTACCCTGAGCATCATGAGACAAGGATATGATAAGGACACCTGTACATCCATGTTCACTGGGCACACTATTCACAATAGCCAGGATATAGAAACAGCTCAGATGTCCCACAATAGATTTTAAAAAAATGTGGTATCTATATACAATGGAATTTTACACAGCCATTGGAAAGAATAAAATAATATCACTTGCAGGGAAATGGATGGAACTAGAACAAATCATGTTAAGCAAGGTAAACCAAGCTCAGAGAAACAAACAGTACATGTTCTCTCTGATATGTAGAAATTAGATTGAAAATAATACTGGGATGTGATAAATTACACAGGATTCTAGATACTCACATACAGTGAGACCAAAAGATTCTCTCTTATGAGAGAATCACAAAAGCACAATGCCTACGCGCCTCTTTATATTTATATGAAATAATATACATACTAAAATGAACTCCTATAATATGGAAACAAAAGACTTTTTTTCCTTTTTCTTTTTTAGTTTTTAGGTTTTTTTTCCTTTTTTTTCTGATGATTCTGTCTTCTTTACCTTATATTCAGCGTATTCACGTGTATATCTTTGACAGGGTGGGTGGGAGGGCACACACCTTAAGAAAAAAGGGTGAAAAAGTGCACCAGTGGAGTTCACTGGACCTTGATCAAAGTGAACTACACAACTCACAGGTGGAGATGAGGAGGGACTGGGAAAGAATGAGGGAACAGATGACACTGTATGAAAGGAAATATACTCATTACCTGACACATAATGAAACCTCTCTGTACATCACCTCTATTATAACAATAAAGTAATTTTTTTATGATTACAGATTCCTACATATCCACAAAATAATACAGTAACATAATTTTTTCTTGTGATATTTAGTTATCAGGACACAAATAAAGATCTAACTAAAATTAAAGAATTCTCTCTGCCATCTTGAAGCCTATGGAGCCCTGCTGGGAAAAGGACCAAAAGGCAGTATTTTTGCTGGTTCTAAGTGAGGTCTCCAGAACCAAAGGAGCACACCACTCTCCTTGAAATTGAAGGTGTTTATGCCCAAGGTGATAACCGACTTCTACTTGGGCAAGAGATGTGCTTAGGAATACAAAGCAAAAACAACACAGTGGCTCCTGGCGGCAAACAAAACAAAATCGGAGTAATCTGAGGAAAGGTAACTTGTGCTCATGGTTCATGCCAAATTTCTGTTAAGCCATTGGACACAGAATCCATGTGATGCTGTACCCCTCTTCCAGTATTTAAATAATGAAAATTAATTAATCTGTGTTGAAGGATGAGGACGACAACAAGGAGGAGGAAGAAGAGGAAGAGGAGGAAAGAAGCAGCTGCTGCTTTAATTTCCCTAAAACAACTCTATACCATCACAAAAGATATCACTATTTACCAGGGCTGTGATGAGAAATAAGAACCTAACTAAATAAATACAAAAATCAACTTTTCTTAAAGTACAGAGGATGGGTTGGGGTATAGAAAGAAGAATGTATATTCTTGTTAAGCTGGGAGCCAATGGCTTATGCCTATAATCCTAGATACTGAAGAGGCTGAAATACAAAGACTGGGTCCAAAGCTAGCCCAACCCAACAAATCCCTAATAAGTCTCAAAAAAAGCAGCAAAAAAAACTCAGAAAGTGGAGGCATGGCTCAAGTGGTAGAGTGCCAGATTTGAGTGGATAAAGCCAAGTGAGAACATAAGACCTAAATTCAACCCCAGTACCAGCAGCCTCTCAAAAAACAAGGTCTGTGTGTATATATGTATATGTTTTGTGTATATATGTATTTACACATATACATATTTGTTAAATGTATTATCATTACTATCTATAAACTCTACATAAATAATGTCTTCCCACAGAAGAGTTACAATCTTTTTATAATAAGGAGCAACTTAGCACCTCACTTGAAGATTTAAATGCAGCAAAAGGGGACTCAGAGTTGGATACCCAGAAATGAGAAGAGAGGATATGGAGATGCTGACCTGAAGCCCATCAAAGTGAGGCATACTTTGCACAGAGACCTCCAACTCCAAGCTTACCTGTGCGTATTCTCTTTCAATTGCAGCCTTCTTCTGACTGAATGTCCTAAAAATACAAACAAAATTAATTACCAAAAAATACAATTTAATAGTTTCATGTAAATTTATCCACACATCTTTGAAAACTACTTGAGAGAAAGAATATGAAGATTTTATTTCTCTATGTATGCACTCGGGAATACTGCATGGTCTCCACAGTTAGACAACCTATAGTTCAAAGCTAAGTTCTACCACTGCCAGTATAATCTTTTTTTTTTTGGGTCCGGTCGTGGGGCCTGAACTCTGGGCCTGGGCACTGTCCCTCAGCTTTTCAGCTCAAGGCTAGCACTCTACCACCTGGGCCACAGCACCACTTCCGGCTTTTTTTTTTCTGGTTACGTGGTGTTGAGGAATCAAACCCAGGGCCTCATGCATGCAAGGCAAGGGCTCTACCACTGAGCCACCTTCCCAGCCCATGCCAGTATAATCTTTGAAAAGCTATTTCATTCCTATGTGCTTCAGTGTCCCCCTTAGTAAAATGGAGGTAATAATGCATCATAGGAATATTGTAAAATTTAGTTACTTTAAATATATGAAGTGCTCCAAAGTATCTAGCACATAATAAACCCCCTATAATTGTAAACTACTCTGAGGATCATGGTTCAAAGCCGGCTCAGACAGGAAAGTCCACAAGATTTCTACCTCCAATTAACCAGCAAAACACCAGAAGTAGATCTATAGCTCAAGTGGGAGAGCACCAGACTTGAGTGAAAAAGCTAAGGGACAGAGTCCAGGCCCTGAGTTCAAACCCAGTACCAGCACAGAAACAAAAACAAACAAAAAATAGTGATCAACTTCTCAATGTGAAAAATCATTTCCTTTAATCCAGTTTTTACAAGTTATACTTTACAAACACATATTATTTCATAAATTTTAGGGTTCATACTTTTCAAACATTAACAATATTTACAGCTGGGCACCATGGCATATTCCTTTAGTCTCAGTAACTGAAGAAGTTGAGGCAGGAAGATCACTTGAGCTCAGGCATTTGGGTCACCCTGGGCCAACACTAGAAAGACCCTATCTTTTAAATAAAAGAAGAAGTAGATAAAGGAGAAAAGGAGCACTAGAATAAGAAAAAGATAAGAAGTTAAAATTACCACCTGAAAATAACTTAAATTTACTAACATGACTGTTGATTAAGAGTAGTACTTATTCAAGATCTTATTATATTCCTTTTGCATGAATAAATAATTTCTTAATATTTAAAAGAAAAAAATCTCACTTTAACCCTAAAGACTGATATATATTTAATGGGATTTAAAATACCAATACTTAAAAAAAAAAGACTCTAATAATTACACCTAGTGCATTCAAGGGTTAAGTAAGAGGGTGCCAGGCACAGTGGCTCAAACCTATAATCCACGCTACTTAGGAGGCATAGATGTGGATGATCACAGTTCAAAGCCAGTCCAGGCAAAAACCTCATGAGAATCCATCTCAACCAATGATTGGCATAATGGTATGCCTGTCAACGCACTGCTAGGTGCAGTAATACACATCAGTCATGCAAGTTAAGCAAGGTAGCACAAACTGGAGGATTACAAATTAGTCTAGACATAAAGAGAGATCCTATCTTAAAAACAACCAAGGAATGTCTGGCACTGGTGGCTCAGGCCTATAAAAATCCTAGCTGTTCAGGAGTAGGCTGAGATCTGTTTATGGATAGTTCAAACCCAGTTGGGACAGTAAATTCCATGAGATTCTTTTGTCCACTTAACTGCCAAACAGCCAGAAGTGGAGCTGTGGCTCAAGTGATAGAATGCTAGCCTTAAGCACAAAAACTCAGAGACAACACCCAGGCCCTAAATTCAAGTCCCAGGAATGGTACCGATGATGATGATGATGATGATGATGATGATGATGATGATGATGATGATCATAATAATAATAATGGTGCAGCAAAAAAGGGCTGCCACAGTAGCTCAAGTGGTTGAGCATCTTCCTAGCAAGCAGAGATTGAGTAAAAACTCAAGGGATAACCAGGAATCTGTTGCCAACTTCTAGATCACAATGGCACAGATAAAATCTGTCTACATAACCAATTTGGAACCCTAAAGTCAACTGAAGGCATGCAACTTTAAGTTTGGATGATAAATTGTAATTAATTTCATCTAATTTCAACCCTTATCATAGTAAGAGCCAGCACTTTCCAACTCTAACCTTTGGCAAACACCCATAAATGTGTTCTTGGAGCAGTTGGCAAACACCTACAAGAGCCAAAATGAGCAAAAAGATCTCACTTTTCCTTAAAATATTGAGGATCTGTAGTCTGATCACAGATTGCTACCCCTGATCAGAGGAGAACAATAAAGGACAACCATTGTTGTGGATGTAAATCTCTCTTCCTTTGGCTGATTTAATGTGCCTAGAACTTCCCCATTCTTTTTTTTTTTTTTTTTGTCGGTTGTGGGGCTTGAACTCTGGGCCTGGGCACTGTCAGTGGTCTTTCAACTCAAGGTGAGCTCTCTCCCACTTGAGCCACAGGGCCACTTCCAGTTTTCTGTTGGCTAATTGGAAGTAAGAGTCTCATAGACTTTCCTTCCCAGGCTGGCTTTGAACTGTGATCCTCAGATCTCAGCCTCTTGTAGCTTAGATTACAGACATGAGCCACCAGCACCCCACTTCCCATTCTTTTTTTTCTTTTTTCCCCTCTTATGAGCCAGATATTGAGTGATAAGACATTAAGAAAACACTCCATATCAAGGGGAAATCAGAAAATCACAGTATATGTTTAGGGAAAGGTACAGGTTCAAAAAAAAAAAAAAAACTGAGACAAACTTCTGTTAACTGTTCAAACTGACAGCAACTCTTCTGCAGTTACCATATTATTACATTCAAGTGTCAAGTTTTCAAAAAAAATCACAAATCCTACAAAGATACCGAGAAGTAAGGACCATGAACAGGAAAAATAAAATTATCTCAAAAATAAAATTATCTCAAAAATAAAATTATAAAGGGCTATGGATACAGCTCAGCCTCAATCCTCAGGAAAAGGGAAAGGGAAAAAAAGTGAACGGCTAAATGACTCAACATTAATAAGGAATGAATTCTATATATGCTACAACATGAATGAAGAATGTTAGTGAAATGAACTATCAGTCACAAACAATCCTAATATATAATATATAATATATATGAGCTTCTTAATATAGTCAAAATCATAGTGACAGAAAGTAGAATGGTGATTGCCAGTAGGTGGGGAAGCAGAAAATGGAGAATTATTCTTTAATGAGTAGAGAGTCCCCAAGTTTTGTCTAGCCAGGCTGGCTTCAAACTACCCGCTGATCTCCGTCTCCGAGTAGCTAGGATAACAGGTGTGAGTCACCAGCTTTTTTACTTGCCGTGCTGGAGATCAAGCCTAGGCCTCATGTATACTAGGTAAGTGCTTAAACCAATGAACAACACCCATCCTCATCATTTATATCTATAAGAAAAAAATAATTTTCAATCAACTCAAACATTTGAGTGAAGAAAATACAAATTCAGTACTAGAGATAAAAATAAGTATCCACAGTAAGAATGTGGCTCAAGTAGTAGCATACTAGTCTAGCATGCATGAAGGCCCTAGGTTCAATCCCCAGTGCTATGAAGTAAGTAATATTTATACAAAAATTAAATCATTAATAAAAACCTGTTTCTTTTTTAAATTTGATCAAGCCATTCTCCTGTTTACCTCTTATGAAATGACGCATCCCCTTCATAATAAAAGCTAACTTCTTTTTCATGGCATAAGAAACTATTAAGATTGGGGGGGAGGGGGGATGCTGGGAAGGGATGTGAAGGGTAAACCAAAGGAGGAGGCTGCAATGCTTGGTAAGAAATGTACGCATTATCCTGCCCATGTAATTGTAACCCCTCTGTACAGTATGTTCACAAATAAAATAAATTTAAAAAAAAAAGAAACTATTAAAATCTGACTCTAGCATATCTTCATCTCTGCACACTCTGCATTTCACATTCCATGTCCTAGACAAGTTCCTTAAAAGAACTAGTATGCTCATGTTCTCATATTACTGCAAATGTAGTCCTTTCAGCTTAGAATTTCCTTCCCAATTATTTGGCCTATCTCTTCCTCATTCTTCAAAACTCAACTTCTCCTCTGAGAAGTCTTCTGATTTCTACTTGTGATTTAGCTACCTGCCATCCCCTCCCCCAGGTCTTCCAGTATAAGTTTAAATATTATAATTGTGAACTGACTATGGAGCACTCTAAGAACAAGAGTATTTGTAACTCATCATTTGTATCTATAGCATAGTATACACTATAGAAGTTCAATAAATGTTTCCTGAATTAATCAATGAAAACAACTACAGAATCTGATTGTCAATTCTTCATAAATTAAGATTAAATAGCTCCATTGGTTAATTCCTGAGAGGCAGAGAACCAAGATCACAATTTACATCCCCATAGACAGGTTAAGTTTCTTGACTTTGAGCGTAAATTAAATCTGTTAATGCAACCATTTTGTACATACTAGCCTTTAAAACAACCCAAGAAGCTCTTTTCTAGCTCTTTCCCAGCTCTTTGCTACCTCTTTCCCAGCCGAGTGGAGGGCCAACATGGCTTGGTGCCAGCCAGAACGATGAATAAACCTACCCCTTACCTGAATACCAAGTGCGTTGTGTTGTTCTTACTCGGCCACCTCTTTTTTTTTTTTTTTTTTTTTTGAGGTGGGGGAGGGGTCCAGTCGAGGGGCATGAACTCTGGGCTTGGGTTCTGTCCCTCAGCTCTTCAGCTCAAGGCTAGCGCTTCCGGCTAGCACCACTTCCGGCTTTTTTCTTTTGGCTTATGTGGTGCTGAGGAATCAAACCCAGAGCCTCATGCATGCAAGGCAAGCACTCTACCACTGAGCCACCTTCCCAGCCCCTCGGCTACCTCTTTTTAAAAACCTAACACAAATGGTGTCGTTTGAACCCAGGAAGGGCTTAAAGTCAGGATAGGTGGGATTCCTTTCCATTCCCCCCTCCACCTCCTTTTTTGTTCTGAGGAATACCCACAGTTCTG